GCTGATGAGTAGAGAAAAGAACAGACCAGCACAGCTCTGTTGAGATTCCTTCAGGGATCCTTGAAGCAAACCAATGGGGATGGTTATTTACTTTACTAACACAGGAGGAAGTAGAAGGGTCACAAAATATGTCATCTGGGTACCATGTATGTAGCTAAGATTGAACAGCCTCCAAGAAACCAACAGCCATCCCTTGGACATCAGGTTTCCATACATAAGAATACACAGGAAGCACATTGAAAGTCAGCTGTGGCTTTTGTTGGAACTAGTAAGAGATGAGATATTAAGCCATGGTGGGATTTTAGGGAAAAATAGAGGGCAGGAGGCAGATGCTGCAGCTTTGAGAGAACTAGCTCAACCTTTGAAAGTCCTCAGAACTCAGAGGGCACAGATGGTGGCGGGTATAAGGTCAGTCATGCAGCCTTGTGTTGGAGACAGCAGTCTCTTGTCAGTGCAAGCTAAGTTCACAAGATTGTTTTTGATGACCACATCCCACAGGGGACTCCAACAGAGCTTTAAAGCTTCTCTGATTGTATAAATTATCACCCAGTGCCTCGTTGCCAATTCTGGTTTGCTTGTATTATTCTCAGGTTGCATCCTGTGAAGGACAGAGTGAAGAGGATGTATCTAAATTCTTACCAGTTTTCACATTCCCAGTCCTTGCTCAGTAGAAGTCTCCCAAGTCAGAGGCAGGGTCTATTAAGGACAGAAGTTAACACTAAGCCTGATTCTAATGAAAAATGTGGCCTTATGGTAGAAGTAATTCAGTCCCTTGGATCTTGGGGGCACTGATCAGAGACAGACAAACAGGGACAGGCAGACAGCTTTCTATGTAGTCCAAGTATTGAAAAGTGTGGAAAAGCTATCATGTTTCCAGGAGGCATGCTCAGTAGCCAACTCTGATATGTTTCTTCTAAATCTTACCACAGCTCTGATCCAGTGAGTACTGATAATGTGAGCCCTGTGGATATGCTCCTGAGTCTCCTGCAGGTGTGGGGCTTGGCCTAACATCTGTCTCCATCTCTTGTTTCTTCCTTTCGAGTATGAGAGTCACACATGGATGTTGTCTGGCCTTTAGTCCCAAAAACATTTCCTATGTGTTCTTAGCACCTTTGAATACTGCTGGGACCTTCTTTTATGGACAGAAGCACAAATCCCCCGAGACCACAGAAAATCCCCTTGAAGAATATTTAAACGAAACTTGGATTTTCTACCTACCAACATAAATTCACTTTCCTGTATCTGAAGCCTGGTTAGACCAGGCAAGCATGGCTCCCCCAATAATCTAACCGTGCAGAGTCTGTGTTTTCAGCTCTGATGCTTATTGGTTGGACTTACTGAATTTATCTAAACCACTGAGCTCTGACTTTTGAGATGGTATCTCAGAATCCCCTACATGTCCCTCTATGGCCTTAAAGTATGTTCCATTATTGAGTTATAGTCACTGTGGAAGGTGTGTGTCTATTTAGCAATACCTTGGAATTCTTTTGGGAAAAGTTTTCTCATACTTGTCCAAAATTCTTCATTTTCCTTTCGGCACAGAGCTTGAATCTGCCCTAGGAACAGCATTTGGTATTGGATTACTCATTTATTCATGAAACACTCTGTTCCCTTGGCTCTACCTCTCGTGGTTTTTCTTTCTACCTATCTGAATACTCAGTGTTTCCTGTGCAGATTTATCTTCCTCTACCCACTCGCTGAATGCTATAGTCCCGTATGTCTCTGTTGTAAGTTGACTTTTCCTTTTCCCTCTTTTCTCTCTTCTGGGTGATTCCATCAACTTCCATCTTCCAATTCCATCTGTGTGCATGACTCATTCACACATTTTTACCTCCAGCTCAGACCTCTTTTTGGAGTTCTAGACCTACAGTTTTAGCTAACTACATTTTTATCTCTCAGGCTTAAATTGCCCTAAACATATACACACTTTCCCTCCAAAGCTATTCATTTTCCATTGTGTCAGGGGCCCAAAATAGCACTAACTTCCACCTTATCATACAAACGAAAGACTTGTGGTCCTCCTTGACATTCTCTCTCCTTTTTTCTCCATGTCTCATCCACTGAATGTTGAGTAATTACTATTTTTTTTCTGATTCTCCACTGCCATCACTTGAGTCTAAGCAACTGTCTTGACTCATACTTGTGTGGCTGCAATGATCTCAAAACTGATCTCTCCAATCCAGTGTGGTTTTATAATGAAGTTGGAAGGATCTTTTGGAAATACAAATCTGAATGTAGCATTGTTCCAGGAACATTCCAGTGTTTCTTTGTCTCTTGGGCTATAGAACTGAAGTCCTCACTGTGGCCTGAAATGCCTGGTTCCCTCTCCCTCTCAAGCTTCACTTACCCTGATCTCCAGGCTTGCTTAACCTGATCATATCCCTTTTATTCTGTATCTCAGATGCCCCATCTCACAGCCTTAACCGAGGCTGTTTCCTCTGCTGCTCCTGTAGGTTCCTCTCATTTTCCTTTGCCTTCTTATGGATTTGGAGTGCACCCTGTTGGCCAGTTCCTCTCACAAGTGACTCTTTTCCCAGCTATACTTTTCATGAGTCTTGTGCCTCTGTTCCCAAATCCTTAATAGTGTTGAGTTTGGATTCCTGGTTTACTATTGCATCTCTACCCCCAACCACCACTGATTAAAGGACAGGAGCTGTATCTGTACTGTTCAATGCTACATCACCAAATGCCTGACTTATAGTGGGTACCTATTTAGTAGTAAGTTTGGATCCATCACACTAAGTGTAACAGCTTACAGTTACAGCTTCCACTAAGATCCTTTCCAGGCACTGTTTTCCCATAAGCTTAGTCTCTAGGACCTCACTGTCGGCTCTAAGTTTAGTTATGCCAATGGGTAAATGCTCCAGACCCAACTTTTTTCTCCTAAGCCAAATAAAAAGTACATCAATATTTAGAGAATCGTGATTTGAAGCAATTGACTTCCTTTGTACTTGGTGCTTATTGGACTAGCCATATCCTAGAAATCTCACATCCCATCTGGTAGATGGGACTACCTAGAAGCCACTCAGCACTATCCTCCTCTCTGGAGTGTCATAGCGACTCTACTAAAGAAAAGACTGACTGACTTCCCCAGGAATTTACTAGGCTGTAGATTCACAGAACCTCCTCAGACAACCCTAGGATTAATGAGTTGATCTTGCTTTTAACTGATGAAAGGAAAGAATGAAGTCCTTCATATATAAGTGATTTCAGAAGACTCTCTGAAGCTACAGACAGTGTAGATGGGCAATGAGTAGCAAAACACCAAATGATTGAGCAAATAAATAAAGCAAATGATTTTGGTTTATGCACCTTTATCTCATTCCATAATCATGAAATTAGTAACAATTATGAAGCAGGAAACCAATGCTAGACACTGGCATTTTAGAGATGAATAGCATGTAATCTCTGTTCTTAAAGATTCACTGTTCTCACTAGAGAGACTCAACTAAGTAAATCCAACTTATTCATGTTCCAGCAGTTGTGGCAAGTCCTCTGAGAAAGAAATCACTACACTACTAAGCACAAAGAAAGAGGTACACCAATGCACTTGTTCTTAAATATCAGTGAGTTTGGGAGATCGGAACCAAAGCTTATGAATCTTAGCATCCTTAAATGCAAGACTCAGCTGAGTTCTGTGACTACATGACTGCAAAAGGAGAAAGTCAGTTTGGTTCTATGAGAACAAATGTGTGTGGGCAGAGACATTATCACTTTAGCTAAACTCTGAACAAACACAAACATTTAGGGAGCCTCTATTATGAGTCAAGCTCTGTGCTAACATGGAAAAACAAAGATAAACAAGGCATAATCTTACCTCTGAGGACTTTGCAGACCCAAGGAGGAGACAGATGTAGAAACAAATAGCTAATAATAATGGTACATTGTGGTAAGAGATATTGTTAAATATCTACAAAGTGACATCAGAATTTAGAAGAGAGACAATGAGAGACTCCTAGGGGCACAGGCCCCTGGGTTATTCCCACAGGGTCTGAAACAGGAAGTCATCCTTGATCTCTAGTGCGTAGAAGAGCAAGAGGCTGGGCTTTGGCCTTTGTTGTTGTTGTTACTTAACGTTTGCTATAGTATGAGCAAAATAGATGTTTTAGGAAGGGAAGTACTAAAGAATTAGGGGATGTGAAAGTTGAATTCAAGGACTATGGAGGACTAAATTTGGATTCAGCGAACCGGAGACACCTGGGGTCTAACTTTATCAACCATGTGAATTCTAGCAAGTCTCTTGGTGTTTTCATTTGTAAAATAAAAAAATCAGTGTACACATTTAGGAATTTTTGTGATGCTTGACAAGCTAAATCTATGACTCACCCAGCACAAGGGTAAAGATACAGTGAGTGGCCAGTTCCCTGCCTTTCCCTATCAGGGGCTGAGTCAATAAACTGGCACTGGTAGACCCTATAATATTAACATTATCATAAATGCTAAAACTGAATGGGTTTTTTGAACCCAATACAATTCCCTTTAATGAACTTTTTACTGTATTGTTTCTTTTAAAGAAAAAAACCTACCTTTTTCTGTTTAAAAATCTAGTGATTTTAATTGTGTTGCCTTTTCATAAAGCTGTGATATTCACCATTTATCCAAAAGAATAAAATAGGGTTAAGAATAATTCCATGAATGCAAAAAGCAAATGGTGGGTCCGAGGTCAGATTCTAGAGACAAAGCAATAGGAAGAATAACTCTTCTACTTGCTCTCACTAGAAGACAAAGATGCAACAACACAGTTATAGAACTTGGGAACCTCCATTTCTCTTCATGTCAGTCTCTTCATCTCCAGAAAGCTCTAATAAAAATCCCTACTCCATAGGGGGTTAATTATTAAGTGGGATCAAATGGGGCAATGTGTTTGAAACTCCCACTACAGTGCCTGGCACACCGGTAACATTCACTAAATGTAAGCTATTGTTGTTATTATTATTACTATTAAAGTCAAGTGACATGGGTGAGTCTTTGCAACATCTTCCTTCTCTTTTCTCCTCAAGGTGCCTCCACCCAGAACTCTAACACCATGGAACCAGAGAAACAGGTGGACAACACTGTGAAGATGGCCGGCGTGATTGCTGGCCTGCTCATGTTCATCATCATTCTGCTGGGTGTGATGCTCACCATCAAAAGGAGGTGAGTCTCTGACTTTGCCCTGAAGACTCCACTGACCCAAGTTGGACCCCACTGCATGACTGCTGTATAGCTAGGTCATAGTTCTGTTGATCACTGTCCCAAAGAAATCATCTGATATGATGGTTGAGGTCTTGAAGTAAGTAGGAAACCATGGGTCCGTGTGTTGTTTGAAAGGTGTGTGCTGTCTGCTTGGCGAGTGATCCTGAGAAAAACAATTTCTCATGGGGCCAATAATTCTGATGGCAGGGCCACTGTGATGTGGCCTGGGATTCTGTGTATTGTGAAATGAGTCTTCTTGAAGTTAACTGCTCTGTTGTGATTGGTCATGTCATTAAGACAGCTGGGACCCCCAATAGTTTCAGGAAAACACTGCTTCATTTCTCTTAGCTCCACTCACCCTTGATGTCCACTGATCAAGTAGCAGACCTCAAAGCTTCTAATGAATTAAGAGACCCAAAGATTCTCTTATTCCATGCTTCTTCATAGTCTATGTCCTACAAATGTTCTTTTCCAGCTAGTCACTGCTTCTTTTTACTTCTCGACAAGATGTTTCCCTAGAAACCTCTGTCAAGCTAACAGTTTTCAAATTATGTATATTTCCTAAAAATCATATTGCTCATGAAGCAAAGGTACAAATTGTTGCCTTATTCCCAAGATTGTGTCCATAGGCTAGAGGCTCAATTTATAGAAATACATGGAAGAAAGGAAACATAAAAATGAAGGTCAGCTGTAACTGTCCTTAGAGTTCATTGGTTATTCCTCTAAATAAGGAGTTCTCCTTACCACTTGTGCCCTCCCTATCCTCACATTGCCATACTTACTCCCCATCTCTGTATCTTCCAAATTTATTTCCCAGCGCTCTAATCTTAGTCTCCATCTTCGTTTTCACTAGCCAGGACCCGTACAGCATTCATCTACATTATAACTATAATGACCTGCAAGGGGCACTGACCCCTGTGAAAACAACCTTCTACTCTTCTAAGCAAACTAACGTCTTGGCCTGAAACTCAAGGTTTAATGACACGGGGTTCAGGACAGCGCCAAGAACAAGATTAAAGGGCTTCCTACCACCTTAAAGATAAAAGGCACTTGTGAAACTTATTACTCATTGAAACAAAAAAACAAAATGTGTCAAAGATTAATTTCATTTTCTACCTTAGGAGCCACATTAATATGAATGCAGCAAAAAATTAAAAGCAATTTCTCCATTTCTAGCCACTAATGATTTAGAAATACAGTGATTCACACCATATATTCCGGTCGGGCTTCTCTCTCTCGGTCACATAGGCGCCAGAATGTCCCAGTCTCTCTCACATAGTCCTTTAAATAAGTCAATCCTTCCTCTGGCCAGGATATCTTATTGCAAGGATCTTGTCCTTTCTTGACATCTTTTTTTACTAGGATGATCAATTCTTTCCTCATATGACTAAAAGAATAGCTTGTAAGTTAAAGTTCTTAACCAATTACTGTGAGAGAAACAAGGAGGAAGAGAATATACTGTGACAACCCAGGATCAGGGGGCCCTTGAAGGGCTAAAGAAAGCACGGCATAATTATATCAGCAGCAGCAGCAGTAGTATCAGTAAAATGTATGTGATTTGTATGTCCCAGGAACTAGACCACTGCTCTATATGAGGCAGAATGCAAGCTTTAATTTTTCTGAGGGCAGTAGGCACATGGCACCTAGAAGATCATTGACGTTTTCTTGTGTCACAGATATATCAGAGGCGGAGGTGAGTTGGGGATTGTCCACCTGGAAAAAGTGACCACTTTAATAGAAATGAATATCTCTTTGATAGACCTGTGATTTTCTCATTTCTTGCTACTGATTTGTAAGTCAGATATACTATTCCAATTTTGCTCTTTCTAAAGCCTGGTTTAACCCACGTCACCATTGTCTGCAAGCGTGTGAAGAAATTTAACTTCCTTCTCAACAGCTATTTCTGAAATGTGTGACATTCTGGGAGAAAGGAAAGAGCTTTCTGTTTCTACGGTGGGAGTGACTATAAAGTGAATCTTTCATGAAGTTTTAACCTCTTGCTTTTTAACATCATCTCTCATGTCTGAAAAACACTTTGACAGATTCAACCAACAGGTGGTCCATGATCACCATTTCTTAGAGAAGCAAAACTCAGACACTTCACGTTGTGATAATGTCACAGTGAGACTGAGGATGCCCATCAGTGTTTCATATAGTGTTTTGTTTCATTTTGTTTTGCTTTTTGTAAATGAAACATTTTGGTGTCTTTAGTTGATAAGAAAAATTTACAGATAGGTGTGGGAAGGGGAAACCTGGAAAAGGGAGGAATACAGAGGAGGAGAAGGGAGAGGAATTAAACATAAATATGCAATCTTTCTACTAACCTGCATGCCATCTAGTAATTAATTCCATCATCTTGTAAACCCTCAAAGGTATTTGTGGGTGTAGTGATGCCTTTCACTTATTTGTGCTTCTCCCAAACTCAGCCCTTATATGAATATGGGAAACATTGGTCAGTTGAGCCTATTATTAACATACAGAAAGCCACACTACTATCCATAGCTGCCTAAAAGAAAGAAGAACTAAAGGAAAAGAAACTTCCCCAAACAGTTTGTAGATCCAGGAGTTCTCTGAAATCAAACATCTGCTATGTCTCTACTAACTTAAGCTTGCTGCTGTCCCTGGTCAGTGGCTGTATCTGTTTTTTCTGACCCTAATGGATTCATGTGACTCAAAGTCTTTCTAAGGCTAGAGACACAGATGTTGCCAGTAAAGATAGGTGTCCCCAGCTTCTCCCTCTCAAGGGTTTTCCATCATTAACCTCACGGCTCCTTTCCATTCTCCAGGGAGTCTCTCTTTTTCTGTTCAGGGTGTGATTTTGTGACATAGAACTTAAAAAACAGGCAGAGAATGGCTTTGAGGTCCAAAAGAAGAAGGAAGGGCATAGCGGAAGAAACTAAATTAATTTACATTTCTGTAATTGTGGTGGGGGAGGAAGGAAGAAGAAAGGGAAGAAAACAACCAACAAAGTCTGAGGGATGTTTTGTTGTTGCTTGGATTTGTTTTGTAGTGGGAAAATGAGAGGTGAAAAGCAAAAAAGGATATGAAAAGTTTATGGGTGATTTAATGAGGCTTCCTTAATATTTGCAAATAACACAAATTTAAGTTTAGAATCTTTTTTATGTTATCCTTGGCTGTTTTGACTGGGCTCCTTTGAATGTGGGATCATACATAACCAGAACAACTTGAAATTAGGTGAGCATTATAAGAAGGAAATCTAGAGCCTCTGACTCATAGTTAACTACCTACCAGTATGGGATTAACCACATTCACTTCAAAATATCCAGTCATATACTGTCAAGAGTCAATGGCCCTGTCTTTTTCTCTTAGGCCTGTTGATCATATTTACACTTCAAAATGTTTTCGAATGAGTATCATGCCATGATGTAGAAACACATCTCTTTTTTTGTGAGCATCATACTGAGTCTTTACATGGAGAGAACCCCCCCCCCATCATCACCCAGCCCTTCAGTCTTGAATGTTCTTCACTCCTTCCAACCTTGCCTTGGGATAGTGATACAGCCTCCCCCAAAGAAATAGCCACTCAAGTTACAGTGAAGACATCTATATGACTCCTTAGCTTAATACCATAGGGTGCTAAGTGCTTTTAATGCAAACTTAAGGTAGAAAACTCACATTTTAGTGCCTTAACCAGTACATCTTGATCACTTAAGTGTTTGTTAGCCACTCACATATGAGAAGTTCTACACTTTGATGTCTGTTTGTGAGGTGTGAAATTATATGCATATACCCCAAATTTCATATAGTTCAATTTCGGGCTTTGAGACTCAATTCATGGAGTCTGAGAATGGTACCCAACGTTATACTTTTGCATAGCAAAATTTAAGCAATATTCTTTGGCAGATCTTTAACTTAGGATTTATAAATATCCTACATTGATCTCTGCATACCTTTATGTAGTTTTCAAATAAGAATTAGATAACTTTTAGGGAGACATTCTAAAGTCAGTTTTAGGCATGATCCTATCCATTTTGTCTCTCTTTCCCACTTCACCTGCTCTGCTTCTTAAGCCCAGACTGAGCTTTCTGCCTTGTTTGTCTAAATAGTAGCTTCACTAAGAGTATGTATGGGGTTTCTTTAGATTAAAAGTGAGTTTATTCTAAGATATATATATGAATTTACATTGATTCTCTGGATGCAAGATGCAAAAACCTTGCAACTACTGACTAGGAATTTAAAAACCTGAATTCAAGTTTCTACAATATTTTGATTTGCTGATAACCTTGGCGAAGCCCCTTAACACATCTCTGTAAACACAATGAGATAATAGTCAGGAGAGACTTTGTTTCTTGTACTTGCCTCAGGAATTAAGATACACAAGGCCAACAGGGCCATTCGTCTTACACATGACCATCACACATAAGAAGCAAGCTCCAAGCTCATCCCTAATACGCTGAGTAATGTTGGAATAAGTACTCACACACTGACCTAGTTTATTCCTTTCCCACTTCAACTGCTATGTTCTAATTTTAGTCCCCTCATAATCGTAGTTACATCTGTCTGTTGGTACTCTTGTGCTTTTAAGAGGAGGAAACTAGAGCTCAGAAGAGCTAAATGAGTTGACTAAGGTCTTAGGCAGAGTTGAGACTCAAATACAGTCTCCATAACTCCAGAGACTATGCTTCTAACTTTTATAAGTCTAGGAAGACTATCAAAAGTAGGCAAAACCTGGACTAGGAAAGAGAAGACCCAGATTTCTATACTGTTGCTCATCCTTGGGCTTATTTTCTCCAGTTTCACTGCGCTATGTCTTTGGGCATGTGTTTGTCAGTACGAAATTTAAATGTCCTGACATTTCTTTTCATCTATAAAACCCTATAATGTTGTTAACTTTGAACCCCAACTCCTTCTAAGTAGGACTTCCAAGTGTTAACTTCTCAAAATGGTCTTCCAACAAAGTCCCTATGCCAGGAAGATTCAGTGACTTTCCTCAGCAAGCA